TGCCTTGGACACTTCTAAGAACTTTACAACTACAAAAGTGTAATAAAAGTTACAAATCTTATAATTAACACCAAATCCTAAAGCAATTACACTAACATGAAATAAATGAAAGAGAACAACATGCCACAAAAATAAAACTCGCAAACAACAAAAAATGTAAAATCGCAGACAACGATTTCCACTACGCAATCCATAACAATTAAACTAAATACTTGCAGATTTAAAATAAAAATAACTAAACTACTTAATAACTAAAACTAACTTAAGTTGAAATCTTTGAGGAAAGATATGAACAAGGATGAAAAAAACCTAAACTAAAATTACAAACAAGAACAGATCTTGCAAACTAATCTGGAAACTTCGCTAAAATCTAGAAAAAGTAGTCTGAAAGTTGAAAAACATATGCTCTGGGCAGTGTGTGTAGGGCAGGCCATTTGTAACTGATTTTTTCCTCCTGTTTTTCTTTTCTTCGGTGTTGGGAAACCTCCTCCATGTTTCTCCGCCCTCTCCCACCATGATCGAGTAGTGGGGGTTCCATGTCTAGTAGATATCTAGCAATTGACAGTTTTTTATTCAACTTTATCTTTAATAAAATCCTAATAATCCTTTTCCTAAAAAACCTCAACTTCCTACTTTAAATCAATCTCAAACATCAGAAATTATTTTATCTTCTGCCACTTGAAATCCAACTTCTTCAAAATTTCGTCTGGATTCTTAAACTGTAATCTAGCCCAGCCCAAATCCAGACTGCTGACTTTTCTTGATAATTGGGCTTCAACTAAACACGTGACCTTACCTTATTGGTTTATTTTTAGGTGTAAGCACCTTCTTTGAAGAAAAGAATATACGTACTCAATTTAATTAACATTAAAAAAAAATCATAAAATGAAAGCATACATGCAACTTTGTACCATTTACGTTTTAAGTTTCACTGGTGGATTAGCTTCAAAATATTCTTTTGGTGTTTTGGCTACCGAACTAGTACTTGATTTTCTTGAATTCATTACATCGATGTAGAGGTGTGCTTTTAAAATCAATTAGAGAGAGATTATTATGTATTTTAAAATTAATTAAAAATACCCTAATTGTAAACAATAAAAAAAATGCTATAGAAGCATTATCTAATGTTACTTGGGTGATAATAAATTTGAAAGTGTTTTGTAGTCTATACCAAATTATAAAATATTAATTATTAGATCAAGAGGGGCTCAAGGGATGATTTCTTCATCTAATTATTATTATTTTATAATTTGATATAATCTAAACTACAAAACACCATACACTTCAAAAATTTTGACAAAAATGCAAAATTGGGGTTAAGTTGTTAAGCGGATAAAAAAGGCAATTGATTAACCAACGGCTCTATTACAATAGCTGTTAGATTTGGTCTTATGGCGGGGAATAGCCATTTGGTTTTTTGACCGTTAGAAGGGAAAAGGACTAGGACCTCTTATTGTCTCTGCTCCAACATAAATGAACTTCCATGCCCTCTGCAGCAAGTTTTGGTATTCTACTAGTGGGGTTTTTAACCAGAGATCTATAGATAGGTGAATCTAACAATCCATTCTGAAGTGCCAAAGCCACCTCCGTGCTATCTAGGTTAGGTATGTTGGGAATTAAGAATTCCCCCTTTGATCTCAAATGCCACCATTGGGTATAAAATTTACTCTTCATACTCTAATATCAATTGTTGGGATTTGACTCACTAAAAAATTGTGCAAGTGAATAATAATAAAACAAAATAAGAAGAATAAAACATAAATTTAACATGAAAAACCCTTAATAAAAAAAAAACTACAGAGTAAGATAAAAAATTTATTAATTAAAAAAAAAGAATTAAGAGAAAAATGTTATAATATAAGAAAACCCCTCTCAATATCCTCTGGTTACTTCTAATCTCTCCAAGAACTCCCTTAAGAACTCCCTTAAGATCTTCCTTAAATCTTCTCCATCTTCTCGTTAACCACTGGTTACATGTCAGCCCATGTGGATTGCGACCTTCACACACCACACATCTTAGGTCTGCTAATAACACATTTATATTAAATTCAAATCGGGTTTTAAATTTTTACTTAAATTATAAATTTAAGTACTAATAGAAGTTATCATATATTATAATGTGGGTCCTAAAGTTTCTTCTAAAGTAGGTTGGAATTAATTAGCAAACTGAATCTCACTAAAAATCCACTTGATCTTCAAAATTTCTTGAATATTTGATTGAGCCGCGCTTCAATTAGGATTTCAAAATTGACTTGAATTCTAAATTAGGAAACAAATTGAAGTGCACGGATTACCAATTTTCTGCTGAGCTATCGACATATTAACTTATAGCATCGACACCATGATGCCTCGAAATATAGTTCCAGAACCTTGTGCCGAGGTTCCTAAACCATTTTGGCCAGTATTGTATTTTCTCCTCTTGAGATGTCAGCATCCTAGTCAGAGGTGTAAACACCTTTCTTGTTCAAGGCAAACTCCTGCTTCGAGTAATTCAAGGCACATTCTCAACAAGGTATGAGCAGAGCTTCCCTATGAAATCTATGCAGCTACTCAAGTTTTCCCTAGTTCTCGGTTTAATCATCATTGACAACTCCGAATCTCTCTTAGTGGCTTAGATTGAATAAAATGGGAGATGAATAGTACTTAGCTGTTTAGTGAGGTGATGAATCTATCAAGTAGGTCAGCAAACCAGGTGGAAGCTACGTTAAGTAGGGAAGTTGGGAACTGGTGGCACATGATTGCATCTCCAGCATATAGTCTTTTGGTAGCTGCAAATGTACTCCACGGATCAGTGGTACCATCGTATGTGCCCAGCTACGAAGGTATTATGTAATGAACCGGTAGAGGTGCTTTCACGATCTCATTGGAGAACTTCTGGCCTAGCACAACTTCCTCAGCTAATATATAAACCCCACCGGTAGTATAAGTTATATGGATTACTAGCGTTGACTAACTTTTGTGTCATTGTTTTTCATGGATCTGTGATTTAGTTTCTTTGAAGGCCGTAATTAAGATTCCGATTATGTGTAGGGTGGAGATTAAGATTATGTAAGTTTCATTAAGAGGTCAGTGGAATTGTAAAACACATTGAGTTGATCAAGAGAATAAACTCAATAAAGTGAACCATGGGGATGAAGCACATGATATTGAAAGTGATTCAGTTGTGGATATATTTAAAGGAGAATGATTCTCTCTGCCGGCCGCTTTTAGTGAAAAAGACATCACTTCGCAGACAGCTACTATTGGTGCCAATAGTTGCCCCATTGAGAACCTGGATTATGAGTATGCTTGCTGTACTCTTCTCCTAAAATAAATTGTTCGTCCATGCATTCACTAAATTGTGATTTGTCATTGTTGTAGATTTAAAGGCCTTACGTGTGGCACTTCGAGTAACGCCATATATACAATAATATTAGCCTGTGCTGCAGGCAACTGAAATCTCTTCTGCTAAGGTTCTTTGGCTGTTAGATAACTTGCTCGCTTCAACCATAAATTTGTAATTTCCAGTAAGTGTTTTGAGTTAAAAATCCACCCTTCGTGATGATAACAAGATGGCCAGGTGCTAGGCTGGTGATAACAAGATGGCTGAGGTATAGTATTTTTATCATACATTTTGTGTAGGTTAAATGCTAAATTTGGTCCCCTCAACTTTAGTGAGTTACACATTTTGGTCCCTTAATAATTTTTTGCACTTTTTTGATCCCTCAACTCTAAAAAATAGACACCGTTAGTCTTTCTGTCAATTTAGACCGTTAACTACGACATGTGACATTTTTTATAATTTTTTTGATGACATGGCAAAAACGATTTTAAAAAACGTTGATTTGGAATATTTTTTTAAGGCACGTCATCGCCAACTCATAAACTAACTCATAAACTGATTTTACCTCAATAAAAAAATAAAAAATTACAAATTTACCCATCTCCCTTTCTTGATCCATCTTCTTCCCCTTTTTCGATCATCTTCTTCCTTTCTTTTTTTTCTTTTTCTTTCTTCCTCTTCTTCCTCTGTGTCTGCTGGGTTCCACTGGGTTCACCAAACCCAGCAAACTGGGTTCGAGGAACCCAGCTCGAGTTCGATGAACCCAACTTGCTGGGTTCGAGCTGGGTTCTTGGGTTCCACCGAACCCGAGTTGCTGGGTTCCGTCGAACCCAACTCCACCTTTTTTTTTTTTTTGTTATATGTTTGTTTGTGAAGAGATTATCCAAGTTGCGGGTTGTGAAGGATTTTTGGATTCTTTTCTTCATATTTTTTAAGTATTATCTAAATTATTTCAATGTTCAAAATGAAAAGAACAGAAGCAGTTGGGCAAAGAAGCAATTCTTAGTGGGTTTCCATTTGTTTGGTTGGAAAATGATATGGTTTGAGTGTTTGGATGCTAAGAAAATGCTTTGAATTTGTTTGGTTGCCAAGATTGGTTACCGAGAAACTATAATGTCCGTTAAAAAAAGAAAATTTGATGAAAAAATTGTGATTTAATTATAAATTAATTTACAATCTTAATTTTAATTAATATAAATAATTATAGTTTAATGATGATTAATTAATAAAAGTTAATTTGATATTTTTTATTCGGGTAAATATTTAATTTAATTTATTATATTATTAAAAAAATATAAAAAAATATTACTTAATTTATCATGTCATCAAAAGATATCTTTCTTTATTAATGAAGTGAGACCCATTTGAATGGATTTGACGTACAGTAATGTAATATGAAATGTCAAAATGTTTGTCCATATCATCACTTTGCTCTTCACATCATCAAAAAATATATAAAAAATGTCACATAAACGGAGTTAACGGCTCAAATTAATAGAAAGACTAATGAAGTGCATTTTTTATAGTTAAGGGATCAAAAAAGTGAAAAAAAATTATTGAGGGATCAAAAATATACATTTTTTAAAGTTAAGGGACCAAATTTAGCATTTAATCTTTTGTGTATTATAGGATTGTGGAAAATGAATTATTGCAGCAAGCAATACAAATTAAAACACAATTCAAATTTAAAACACACTTCAGCTAATTGCTTCTCGTTTAATACAAGATAATTTCTATTTTAAACACAACTAAAAAATTAAAACACACTTCAACCAATTTATATCACTAAATACTACTTTTTTTAAAATAGGCATAGGATCACGAAATACTATTGTGTGCAGGTAGAACTACGTAACAAGAAACTCATCGTATTATACAATACATATTAAAATATAAATAATGAAGTACCAAACCAACAGTAAAGCTGACCTCATGTACCTCACTGCTTGCCTCCTAAACATAAATAATTTCTTTCAATATCAAACCCGTAAATGGTATTGAGCGACAGAGCCCCACTAACAGTGGTGGATTTTGGTGCAGGAGCAGTTCCTTAAATCAGATATATTTTAATGATATTAGTTAGAAGTCACTAATTCTCAACAATCTTAAATGTGGAAAGAAAGCAGTTCTATTTATTTAATGAAACACAATAACCAGGAATGAGGCAAGCAGTTATCATTTATACTTACCATACAATACAAACACATTGAAGGGATATCATATATAACTCTATTAATATATAGGACTATCAGCTTGTTGACCACTATTGTAACTTAGACCATAATTCTTTTAAAAAGTGCGATAACATTTAAAAGTTTAAAATTTAACCTTTGACAATCTCATTTTTCATCTTCTAATTGTATTAGTTAAAACATATATATATATATATATATATGAGATTTTTGTTTTACAGGA